GTCATTGATTTCCAACTGGTCAAACTTAACGGTTCTAATATCTATGCCCATGGTTAGACAAATGATGAATCCTGCCCTTTTTTCTTTTAGTTGCTTTCAGGAAAGCGAAAATAACACTGAATACGATTTACACTTGATTTAATGAAAATTGGGTTATGCCAACACCATTTGCCTTTCCTCCCTGAAGATGATGAGACGGCGCAACACGTTTTGCCAGGATAGAGTAATAGGGACGAACAAATGAGCTCTTTCTTTTGAGAAACTTTTTCTTGGAAAATTCTCTCAAAGGTTTGCCATCGGGGTGGATATGTTTTTTTTCTTATTTGACAAAGAAATTCTTTTGAACTTTAAACAAAATATTTTGCAATACCCTGTATCCATTGACATGGTTTGCTGACCTACTAATCGCTCCCGCTGTCGCATATGCCGAGCCCCATTTACACCAATGGTTCATGTATTTAAATATACCTCAAATGTTTGTTGTACTCTGACGATTCTAAAATTGATTCATGCAATTTATTTATATTTTGGCAATGATTTACATACAATTAAATGCGGCAGTCGAATTGAAGTGTTGAATAACAGTTTAACAAATTTGGGTGGCATTTTTTGGCAAACGAGAATTTCAAAGACACACTGCATAAGTTTACAAACAAATAAGACCTTTTGATGTAGACTGCAGTATTCAGGTAAAATAGTGCTCTTATCAAAGAGAAAAATAGTTTTAGCAAGAAGTACTTTCGAATAAAGTATACGTCCTTATCATATAAACTAACAGGTGTATAGCAATGACACAATGTATGTAGTAAGGCATCCACACACCTGTGCGATTCTGTCGGAACGAATCCGCATCGTTTTTGATGCTACAGACGTTGCTGCTTCGAAAACGCAAGTACGTACACATCTGTGACTTTTTACTTAACAATTTTTTTATAGTAACTATATTTTATAGGTCCCCCAAACCCCCAGAAAATTCCAGAAAATGCAATGGGGAGATAAATAAAAAATCTTTAGTGAAGAGAGCCAGAATTTTCTGATCGAAAAATATTGATTTTAAAGAATTCTATACTATCTCTACGAAAAGTTATTTTTCCCCATATAAATACATGGGACAACTTTGAGCGCTTTGAGCGACCTCTAAAAATTTTTTGATTTCTAAATAAAAAGATAGGGTATATTTTTCGATAAAGAACAATCCTAGGGGGTGAGAGCATTCCGACTTTACTTTTTCCCCATATGCATTTTTGGACCACCCTAATGTACATTGTACGTTAAAGCCTTTTTAACAAAAATAAAATTTTTAATTTTTCTGCATCAAATATGTTTTGTTTTCTTACGTTCAATTTGGTTTTAATATAGTAAAATCCTTCGATTGACCTTTGTCGTTCTCAAAACGTGGCAGTCTGCAATTTCCACACGACGGAAAGAAAAACTGTGAACGTTGGAAAAATTGCTGCAGCAAAATCGTATAAGTGTGTGTGGTTCCTCATTTAAAACTATGGTCGGCATTGTTGTAATTTTTGGCGGAACCGTTGCTTCTGTCGAATGCGCAACGATTAATTCGCATGGAGTGTTAAAAAAGCAACACCGTGTACCGTCGAGTTAGCTCGAAGATCTTATTTTTCAGTCGAGAAATATAATTTTGAAATTTTCATATTACTAAGTGACTCAAAACATTTGATTTATAAAAACAATATACATATCATATAATAAAATGTCTATGATACTTGGGCTTAGAACATTTTTGATTCTTATTTCTCAGAAGGACCTGTCTTTACCCTGGATATATAACGGGTGCAACCTCGCAAATGACAGAGACAATTGGCGAAGTGTTTTGGTCTCGGCAAAAATGGGCGAAGGGTGGACCCAAATAGGAAAAATAATTAATTGATTACTTCTCTAGATTTCTTTAGGAGCCTTTAAGTAGTGTCATGATCATATACATACATATGTATATGAGAAAATCCCACGAGTTTTACATTTTTCGGAAAAAAACGTGCTTTGCGTCGAAAATGGTTATACACCTCTTAGAAAACGCATTATCTTCAGTTTTGAATAAAGAACAAGATTCCACCGCGAAATTGTATTTAAATGAAAACTTAAAAAATAAAGACAACCACTCGTACTCGTTAGGAATATGAATTTCTACCACTTATTCGATGTCTATGTTGTGTCATTATGTCGCTGGTGAAAATTAAGAGTTTTGGCTAGAATTCATCTTTGAGTGCACAAGGGTAAAATAGAGTTCTTTTCAATGTCCCACTAGTCACATTCATTCAAATGATAGTTACATAAAATAAAACTAAGAAGTCGTTAGGTATTTTTGTTAAAGCAACTTTATACATTAGTTATCATTCCATGTTCTACGTTCGCTGTTATATAAGTTCCGACAACATAGTTAAAATTCACCATTGATCACATTCTAGAGTAAAATGTCACACTAGTCACAATGGAATGGCCCACATGTAAAACTTCCTCCTGAATCTGAAGTCATATAGGCTGCATTCCATAACGTCAAAATACAAAGCATCAGTCTCTTTGATTTCTAAACCGCACTAGAAAAAGTCAAAATTGCGCAACCTAGTTGAAAATTAGCATCTAACCGTGGTTGCGCACATTTGGAATTACAATTTACTGAGGTTTAGAAATAAAAGAGACTGATGCTTTTTATTTTGACGTTTTGGAATGCACCCATACTTAACGGGCGTGTTTCTAAGACGTAGCTGTTTAGCTCAACTGCTATGAAACTGCTGGCAACTGTTGGACCCAACAATTACGTCTTAGAGACGGCTTGATGAATATGCTGCCAAATGAACAGATGATAAATGTAAACAAATGAAATTGCAATAAATAGAGATAGTTGCACCGAAAATATTTAGAATTCAACGCTTAGCTGCCGCCGTGTTGAAAAAATCGTTCAATGAAACAGTGTATAATTATATAGCAAACATCTTAAAAACATATATTTAGAAATGTCGTATTAATATAAAATATTATGGTTACTTTATAACATCAGTAATATAAAATAGAATAAATTTGTTTGCAACTGCCACCTAACAAGGCGGCGTTAAATTTAATACAAGCTGCGTAAGTCTTTACGATCAGCTGTTTAGGCTAAGTCCAACACGTTGAGTTCAGGTAGCGTAAAAATTTTTCGCTTGAAAAAATGGCGGAAAGTTTCCAGCTGTTGAGCTGAGCGGAACTGCGCAACTGTGCGTTTCGAAGAAAAACACCCAACAGTTTAACAACAGCTACGTCTTAGAAACGCGCCCAATGCTAAATATATACCCGTAGCTGCGTATGTAACGAATATGTCACGTAGCACCATTCGCAGTCAACTAACACGTTTACTTGCACGCCTTAATATAAAAATTATTAGATAAATATTCGTGTGGAAGAGTTTTGCTCAATATTCCTTATGCACATATACGGGGGTGGTCTTAGAATTACCCGCCCTAACAAAGAAAGTACTAAAAATTTGGGGAAAAATATATTTATTTTTCAACATAATCTCTTTTCAGCTCATTCCAAGCGATGCTCAATAAGCCCCCTTTTATAATAAGAACTGTCTTGCTCCTCAAAATAGCCATTAATCGCCGACATCATTTCTTAATCGTTAGAAAATTTTTGACTACGGAGCCATTTTTTGAAGTTAGGGAACAGAAAAGGGTGCGGCGGGGCTAAATCTGGCGAATAGGGTGCATGAGGTAGCATTTTAAACATTAATTCATTAATTCGCTAATCACTCAATTGAAACCTCTTCACGACACTGTTTTTGGTCGAGTGTGAGCAAATGCGGCACCCATCTTGGAAACAGCTTTCTCATTTCCAAATCTTCAGATTATATGCGATGTACCATACTTTTCGAAATACCTACTATATCTGCTAGCTAGCGCATGCAGCTAAGTGGAATGTGCTATAGCAGATAGGACATACGGGCTTAATTTCTTTCCTTAATTTTCCCCGTTTAGATTTCACCGTAACAAGTTTTTGGTTGCACATATATAAGTACATAAATTTTGCACTTAGTACTGGAGGAGCTCAGCGGAGCCTGCTTGTACATTAAAGATTTTGCCTAAATTTTTCTATATAAAACAGCATTTTTATGAATTCACCACATAATTTTAAATTAGTAACTTTTACTGATATACTAATCTTTAATTTTGGCTGATACCTCAATACGCGGTTAACAAATCATTTCAATACAATACCTAAAAAAAGTTACGTTTCATAATTAAGTAAATTATATTTCCTTTTCGCATAACTTTTTTGTATAAAAAAAATGCAGAAAAATTTGAATTCCTTCGAAGCCAAACAGTTTACTTCGACATTTATAAAATAAGAATTCGTTGAAGCTTTAAAAATATTCATATTTGCGTTGTATATTTATCAACTTCTTGAAAAGTAGCCAACGGAAATATTTTTGGCACTTAAATCTGAAATCAGCAAGTCGAGAAGAAAAACACACCTGAAATAGCACTCAGAATGCTGGCAAAAACATTAAATGTGTGAAAATTTGAACGATCCAACAAAGGCGCGTTTATATGGTAAAAATTATTACAACAAGAGAAAAACGAAAAACAACAATAACGAAAAAAACTTTACACGAAATGTTGTACATGGGAAAGAATTTCCGACACTCGTCTAGTGAAGTAGCGTGGAGTGGGTGGTTGCTGACTGGCCGGCCAGACAAGTGGTGAGTTTTGTGTATTCGATGACACACACACACACCCAAGATATTGACCGAAAATAAAACGACGCAATTTTCCCACCTTTAAATACCAATGCGGCTGATTCACTGCCACCGCATAGCGCCAATGTTTGGGGAGAGAAATCGGAAAATCGTCATCGGTGGAATTCGTTATGTGACGACTGTGGTGATTCGTCGCTGTGCCCACGACTGTTACCGATACAACAAAGCGCCAAGAATTCACCTCAACCACGGGCAAAGCATTGTTGTTTGGCGGTTGAATGAATGCGATTGTTTGAGGTAAAAAGTTGATTTCTGGTCGGCAGTGTGGAGTAGTTCATTCAGTCCATAGCCAGGCATCAACTGCGAAAGAAGTGAAAGTTTTTTGATGAAATCAATCTTTTATTTACATTACAAACTACGACTTACTTATCTATGCTGACGTAGAAATAGTATATATAATTATATATAATTTTCAAAGATAGTGCTGCAAGGTTTTAAGTTCAATAAAAATTCAAAACGAAAAACTTACCTTTCAATACATACAAGCCTATAAACAACAAGGAAAATTAGACTGAAACCTAAGGATATAATTAATTTCGAAGTGATAAAGTTTCATATAAAATAAATAAAAATGCAAGTGTTGCTGCCTGAGCAGAAGTTGCCTACAACCTTGTCGGACACGGTGAGTGGCAAGTTAAAAATCGTCGATGAAATCCAAAGCTTATTAAAGACAGTAAGCATTGAAGATGTAAATATAAACGATCATGCCAACGAAGAAAACTTTAAGGAATTGCAGAGCGACAAAAAAAATAAAAGCAATGTTAAACATGATAACAACAACAACAAGAGTAATGACAACAGAAATTTGAATAACGCTGCTGCGGAAAGGTAAATATTGCATATAAAATTTGTTGTTAGTACGTATGTATTTACACACACATACAAATAAATTTCATAACGTTGAGTCAGTGAAAATGGTAGAGTAATTTTTTTTTAAATTTGTTTTAATAAATTGTTTTATTTGATTTTTAATAAAAGCATATAGTTCCCGCTAAGACAAAATCCATAAAACTGAAATTTTCTAACTTCGTAACTATTAAAAAAAAAAATCCTACATTTTCCTTCAAAACTGTAATAATATAATAAAGTGCAAGCTTGATGTCGCTAAAAAATACCGCTGATTTTTTGAGAATTTTTTTTGTCGACGGTGTTGCTCATTTTCTTCCACATAAATCAGATTTTGTTCATGCGTTACCTACATAAATATATGAAAGAAAATGCGCAACACCATCGACAAAAAAAAAAAATTTCCAAAATCGACGGAAATTCTTAACTACTTGGAACTTGCACTTTATTATACAAAAATTCAATGTGCTATAAAATTGCATACCCAAACAATTCTAAAAGTTTTGAGTAAAAAGTGTTAAATTTTGCTGAAAACTTTATGCTTTTTTTGTAATTTTTGCAAAGTGGGGAAACTTTGAGTTTTATGGATTTTGTTGTAGTGTGAACTATATTTTTATTAAAAATTAATAAAATGTAAGTAAAACAAAATAATTACATAAAAAGGGGAAAAAATCGCTGTACGATTTTCACTGACACTCACCGCATATCAAATTTTAAGTATGTGTGTGAAAATACATATATGTAAGTATCAGCAATTAATTAAGTATATAATCATTTTTTTTTTTTATTATAAAACTGAATACAGAAAACTAGTGCAATTATTCGGAGCACCTATTTGCACGATTACACACTTGTTTCGAAATAATAAAAATTAAACTTCAACTATTTTATAGATTTCTCTATTTATGTTATCATATCTTATCTTGCTTATCACTTGATAAAAATACTACATCTACATACATGTAAATGGAAGAATGGCTTAACTCAAAAAAACTTTGAATTCAGTTTTCAACTTGAATTAAGCCAAACAATAATTAAAAACACTCAATACTAAAAATACACGATAAAGCTGTCACTAAAGCTAAGTACAGTTCAAGGAGTGATTGTTTTCTCGTTATAGCTGCTAAACAAAGAAAAAAGTAAACTTGCAAGAAAGGCAAACTCTCTTCTTATAGACGCATATATCGTCCCCTTATTTTTGTTATACAACATCAAAAAGCTTTTTCTTGAATCCTAAAGTTCTTCCAGAAAATTAGCGATATGTATATATGTATATTTGAATGTACATATGTCGTGGAACATCGAAACTTGAAAAAAAAAATGTGTGTGGTGTGCGTGCCACCGCTAAAACGCCAAAATTGAATTTAGCATTTTAAACCGGGGACAACCCTCTTCAAAGGCCCAAAAAGTATTCCACATATTCAAATTTCAAGACGCACAAAAAAAATCGCATGGATATTTTTTCCTGACTGTGCTATGCATTTTCTTCCATATAAAAGAATTCGAGGATAACAAATTTTAAATAAAATAAAGAAAAACAGCCAAAACTCATCAAAATATTTCTTAATCAGCTGACTACAAGTTATATACATGGATAGATAGATATGACTTTTCGAATAGTTGGCAACCCGAATGAAAAATATTTTCAAACTAGAGCGTTCATAAAACTCCTTTCTTCGCTCATACTCGCGTGTAGATAAAAGAACTAAAATTAAGCTTTCAAACAGGTGGCAACCCTTTTAAAAAGTATCTTGCGCGGATTTTGACATACATATTTCTATTAGCTGATGAATTAAGTGGAACTCAAACTACGTGGCAACCCTCCTAAATATAGTTCGGAATTAAGGTCCTTCGAAAATTTTTTCGATTCCTACACACCTTTAGTAATTCATTTAACTTATTAAATTATTTGAATTGAACTTTTTAAACCGGTGGAAACCCTTTTAAAATACCTCAAAAATATTCAAATTAAATATTTTTTAGACGTTCTTGTAGCTGCATATCTACACTGCGTATGACCCAGGCTTGGTTAGTGCACCGGGCAACATGTGGAAAAAAATTATTATTATACCCGAGCGCACTTGTGCACAAGGGTATTATAACTCTGTTCACATAACGGTTGTTTGTAACAGGCAAAACGAATCGAGATAGATATAGACAAATGTATACATAAATGATCAGGATGAATAAAGAAATCGATTAAGCGGTGACTGTCTGTCCGTCCGTCCGTCTGTCCGTCTGTGCACACGATAACTCGAGTAAAAATTGAGATATCTTAACGAAACTTGGTACGTGTACTTCTTTCGGGCGTAGGACGGATGGTATTGAAAATGGGAAAAATCGGACAATAACCACGCCTACCTCCCATATAACGGTAATTTTCAGAAATACGAAAACTGCGATATTTTAGTAACTACTGAAGATTATTCACTCAAAATTGATATTTGCAATAACTTTTAGACGAAAAATAAGAATATTATAAATTTTTGGAAAATGGGCGTAGCCACGCCCACTTATGGTTACATGTGTATATCTTGGCAACCGCTGCACCGATTTCTTCCAAACTTGGCACAGTTATTGGCCTTGGTACAGGATACCAAATGGCCGAAAATTTTAAAAATCGGACAATAACCACGCCCACATCCCATATAACGGTAATTTGGAGAAATACGAAATCTTCGATAAATCAGTAAATATTAAAGCTAATTTATTCAAAATTGATGCTTGCAACAATTCTTTACCAGGAAATACGCTTATCATAACATTTTAGAAAATGGGCGTGGCACCGCCCACTTATGATCACATATATGTATCTCGGTAACCGTTCCACCAATTTGTACCAAACTCGGTATGATTATTGTGCTTGCCACATAAAAGCAAAACGTTCAAAATTATTGAAATCGGACTAAAATTACGGCTTTTCATATAACGGTAAATTTTAGAAATGCTTGAAACGTCAATATTTCGAAATTTAAGGACGCTAATTTATTCAAAATTGATACACCCCGGCTTACCATGTAGCGGTAGCTTTCGGAAAGGTGAAAAGCCATATATGTAATACTTGCGCCGGGTATTTAATGTTCGGCCCCGCCCGAACTTAGACTTTCTTACTTGTTTTTTCTATGCAGTCACCCATTGGCAAGTATACACAAAGCTCAGAACTGCACAAGACCGGTTAATCGATTTTTTTCGGAATCCCGACAAGTGCCAAAAGTGCGGTTTAAAGAAAACTAAACAAAAAAATTTTCCTCTTAGGAAAGCAATTCCGTTTGAAGACATTTTTTATTGAAAAGAATTATACTTTCGAGTACTTTTATGAAAACTGATAGTTTTTTGTTGTACAAACTAAATGTTTTTTTTTTTAATTGTTCACCTAATAGATTGCTGAGGTAAACGACTTAATTATTCGTTGCTTTTGGTTTTATTAGCAAATACAATTTTCGTAGAATTAAAACAGGAATGTCTATTCATTTTAAATTTAAAATTTTTATGAAGAACATAACCCAAAAACTCTAAAAATCATATAAAACTCCTGAAAAGGTCCATTTAACAGCCTTACGGTAATGGCTCCTGGCGAATTTATGCACTACTAGGTGCGCTTACTTTCAAGCAAGAATATTTCGCTCTTAACTCGTTTTTGTGTATTTTGGCGCTCGGCGGGTTGCTGCAATAACCGATTCAATTATACCTAATTAAATGTACTTATGTATACAGTATAACATCGCAATGAAAATATCGTAAAGAATTAACATAACGGTCCAATTTCACTCATAACATTGTATAAAATTCCGTCACTAATTACATGTATGGCAGGCGAAAATAGTGAAGAAATCTAAGGTAGGGTGAAAATGAAATTTATATAACCAGCGCACGCATTCATAAAATATATAGTATATGCCGATTCAGTTAAGCTGTTAGAAAGAACAGACATTTTGGGTATAAAAAACCAACTAGCAATGCTGGTCTAATCGACTTTATTCTAACTACATATTTGGTTTAAATGTCAGCAAGCAAGCTGACAGCTTAGTGGCGCCTACATACAAGGGAGATCCAAATATATTTTGAAACCGATTTTATGTTAGGAATATAAATTTAAAGTAATAATAATCTTTTCCATGCATATGTAGATATCTATTTACGTATATATATATACATATTAGACCGCATCACCAAAAAAAGTTGCAGTTTTTCCGCCGGGATTACAAAACTTATTTTATTTTTAGACGACCACCAAAATATCTCGGAAAAATATTAAGATTTAAGCGAGCTGGACCGATTTGAAAATGCCTCCGAAAATTGAGTTTTTTTATGAATAAAAATAGAAAAAAACACCTCTAAGAAACTATTTTTATTCATAAAAATACTCCACTTTTGGAGGTATTTTCAAATCGGTCCAGCTCGCTTAAATCTTAATATTTTTTCGAAATATTTTGGTGGACGTCTTAAAATATAATAGATTATATAATTCCAATGGAAAAACAGTACCAACTTTCTTTCGTATGGGTATTGATGCAGTCTAATACATATATATATGGGTATAGTCGTGATGAAAAGTTGTCTCGAGCCTGTTCTTGACTTTCTGAAAACCCCTCGTGTTTGCAGTATCTGGCTCTCAGTGACTTCCACCTACAGCTGCATTTTTAAAGAACCTAACTATATAACAGATACTACTGGTTTTTTGGATTGAAGGAAAGGCTAACTTAATGGTAACCGTCAATGTTGTAAGTTGTTTTAATGGCAACTAGTTTTGGGTCACCCTGTTGTGAATTTGTATATATCATGTATGTACTTGTACGTATATTTCAACACACTTGCATTTATGCCCATTTGATTTGGCTATTAAAATTAGCCGGCTTGTAGGTGTGAGAATAAGCGCGACTACCTCAATGAACTTTGTTTTCGCGACGCTCCAGTAAATTCGTTGTCAAGGCTAAATGGCGTCATTCGTTGTGGCGCGACAGCTAAATAAACAACAACAAAAT